TTGATGAAGAAGTTGAACAAGACTGGGCCCAGTACTGACCCCTGGGGGACACCACTAGTTACCGGCCTCCAACTAGACTCAGCGCCGCTGATGACAACCCTCTGAGTTCTGCCATTCAGCCAGTTCTCAATCCACCTCACTGACCATTCATCCAGCTCACACTTCCTGAGCTTCCCTAGGAGGATGTTATGGGAGACAGTGTTGAAAGCCTTGCTGAAGTCGAGGTGGACAACTTCCACTGCTCTCCCCTCATTTACCCAGCCAGTCATGCCATTGTAGAAAGCTATCAGATTGGTCAAGACTAATTTCCCCTTGGTGAATCCATGCTGACTACTGCTGCCAACCTTCTTTTCCTCCACTTGCTTGATGATGACCTCAAGGATGAGCTGCTCCATCATCTTTCCTGGGATGGAGGTGAGGCTGACCGGCCTGTAGTTCCCTGGGTCCTCCTTCTTGCCCCTTTTGAACACTGGAGCGACAATGGCTTTCCTCTAGTCCTCAGGCACCTCTCCTGTCCTCCAGGACCTCTCAAAGATGATGGAGATTGGCTCAGCAATGACATCCGCCAGCTCCCTCAGCACTCGTGGCTGCATTCCATCGGGGCCCATGGATTTGTGGGTGTCCAGATTGCTTAAGTGGTCCCTCACACAGTCCTCCTCAACCAAGGCAAAGTCTTCTCTCTGTAGGCTTCCTCTCTTGCCACAAGAGCCTGGGATTCCTGAGGGCCTGCCTTAGCACTGAAGACTGAAGCAAAGAAGGCATTCAGTAACTCTGCCTTCTCTGCATCCTCCGTCACCAGGACACCCACCTCATTCAGTAGTGGCCCCACATTGTCCCTAGCCTTCCATTTGCTACAGATGTAGTTGAAGAAGCCCTTCTTGTTGTTTCTGACAAGTTTTCCGTTGTACTTAAGAACACTGCAGGCATTAGACCAACAAGGGCATTTCTGTAAGAACAGATAAACTGGATTTTGAAATTTTGGGGTTTCTTAATGTGATTTGTCCTTTAATGCCATTTTATATTATTCCACACTGTCTTAAACCCACAAAACTCAAATTACATTTGATAATGGTAAAATGCCCATTTTATGAGCATTACACGATACCAGTTTGAAAAATAACTCCTGCAATATGTATCATCACAAGATTATCTGCTAGAAAGTCCATGCAATTTTCAGTTCTTAGAGTACTAAACAGTTTTAATCCTTACCCTGTTCCATTTGTTGCAGTTACAGATAATGCTTGAACCCTTGCAACAGGGATTCTCATCTTCTGCAGTGCTGCTGTTCTTGAACCATCATGCTCAACTGATGAGCTAGAACTTGGTTCCTGTGTAGGATGCTCAGGCAGACTCAGCTTTCGACTTACTTTTCCTGCCACTTTATCCGACAGAGGCCTTACTTGCCGACGAAGGGCTGTGACCTGAAACAGAGTGCAAAGACATAATCACATCTCCAAAATCACATTCTAAGTTATAGTAATACAGTATCATTCTGTTTTCAAAGATGTGTTACTCTTTTAGCACAATACCTCTTCAGTTTTGCGACGTAAGATAACTTCTTGATTTCTTTTCTGAGCTTCCAGAAGCTTGAGCTGATGCTGTGAAAAAAATAAGAGGAATACATGATATTTTTTCCATTATTTGCAACAAGGACCATATTGTGTTAAAAAAAAAAAAGCCTTTACACACTAATGCAATTTCCCAAACTGTTGTGACATGAAGAGATCAAGTGAAAATGAATTCTTGTTTTCTAGGGCAGAATGAAAATAAGTGTGTCTATATCAGTTCTCTATTAAAAAGAACACTTGGCATCCAAGTAAGGTGATAGCAACAGATTTACAAAGATTAACTAATAAAATAATACTGAAATACATATTCAATAAGTCTTCTATTTTCTGTTACGCTTATCACCTGAAGCTAGGAACTAAATTATCCTAGAAGTCGAACCAAATTATGCGCATTTTGACTGGTGAAAACAGAGGTATGTGTCAGTGCCAGTGAATGCATATATACATGGCGTGCCTGCAAGTTAATGCACATCATTATGACAGATGCTTATTCCAAATGAAAGTTATTTATCTGTTAAATCACCTCTCGCTTGCGTTGCTCCTTTTTAAGCTGTGCAATCTCTCTGTTTCTTCTAGATTCAGTCATCCTAGCTTTCTCTTGCTCTTCTTTCATTTGTTTCATCAAGCGAACCTATAAAGAGGTTATCACTTAGAAAAAGCTGTCTACACTGAAGTGCTGTTTCCCTGCCCCCACTCTCTATATATATATATATACAGTTTCTTCTTCAAATTGCCATCTTCCAGCATATTACATGGTTTTAGCAATTCACCTCCTCCATCTAATGTGTCTTCTTCACTAAGTGCTGAATAACAGCTGATTAACAGTGCAAGCTTCTCCATGTCTGATACTGTAATTTCTGCTCATTAAGCCTAAAAGCCACCCCTCTCCCCCAGGAATAGCCTAGTCTTCATATCTTTTCTGTTTTCAGACTTCTGAGCAGCTGACAGAAAGAACAGAGTTATCTGGTAGATAAATGCAGAGAAGATTTCAACCCATTTTTCAGTAAACACTCACTGTACAACACTTCAATATACTGAAATATACCTTGGTTTTCTTCATCTCTGTCACCTCCTGCTGCAATTTCTTCAGTTGCTTTTCATATTGAGACTGATTTTTAAGCAATCGTGCATGCTCCTTTTGCGCTGTTTGAAGCCTCTGCAGTTCTTTATTCATGGCTTGGAGTTTCTTTTCATATTCTGACTTGATTTTTTTTGCCTTTTCTTCTGAATAGGTCTCTACAGAACCTAGAGCAAAAGCGAGTTCTTAATCTGCTTTTGTTCAGGATATTTTCACTTTGCCAGCCACAGCAGATGACTGCTTCCTCTGCTTTTAGCATTATCTGCAATATCTTTGAAAAAGTTAATTAGTCTCTAGCTCCTGTCACCTGCACTGCTTCAAACTTCCCACCTTGTATGTCTTCTTGGATAAGAGATCAAGTATTAACACTTGCCTTCTGATTTCTTTGCACTAGACAACAAATATGTGAGAACTTGAAGACAGATACACATATGCTTGTTCACACGTATGTGCACAAGATCAGAACAACAGTCCCAAGAGCCGTCAAGCCTAGTATCCCTTTTTGGGCACTGATCAAAAGAAGGTCTAAGGAAGAATAAGGGAATAGCAAAAGCATATAAAAGTATACAACTATAAAGCAGATAATAGTATATTGAAAAAAAGAAAAAAAAAGAAACAAACAAAACACTTTCCCCAGTACTCTCCCAAAGTTCAGCTATTTGTGGCTTCAGACTTCCTAAGCCAGAGTTTGTTTTTCATCTCAATATGATTGCACATTCAAAAAGGTCTGGTCAGTAAAACATCTCTGCAAGGGCACTGATCCCAGTTCTGATTTTTATGCAAATCAAAAGGAAGTAGAGGGAGGAGTGGGAAACAACTTTTAATTCAGGAACTACGTCAAGGACTACGTTAAAATGAGAGCTCCTAGAAAACTGAAAATGCTTGTTCATCCAAATCAAATACATGTTAGTGGCAGTATCTTTTTAAAAGATTCCTCTCAATTCTGGTAGAAACTAGAATGAGTTTTCTCATTCTGGTAGAAACTAGAATGATTCATTGGCATTCAATGGCAATAACCATGTACAAACATATTTCTGTTTTCTGCAATTTCTTATCACATTTGAAAAAGTGATGAAAGCAGCAAACAATTCAATTTGAATATTTTACACAACATCTAGATTTAAATGATTTTGTACTTCTTACCCAGGTTTTGAAGAACTTGATCTCTTTCAAGCTGAGTGTCTCGAATCTTGTGTTGTAGCATCATTAGTTTCTCTTCATATTGTCTTTTTAGTGTTTGCAACCTTCGCTGGCTGTTCTCTAGCTCATCTATCAGCTTTTGCTTAATAGCTATTTCACAGGTGATATTTGCCAAGTCAGCCTGATAATTTTCTAAAATAAAAAGAATCAGGTAATTAAAAATTAAGACTTCTGCTACAGTAAGAGCGAAGATCACCTAACTATATTTAGTCCCTGCAACGTTAGGGTCATTTCCTGACATGTAAATTATGCATAGGAGAATTCTACACAAAGCACAATGTAGCAAGCAAAATTTGTCTGCAATTCATGATAAAGTCTCCTCCCTACACACTTTCCCCATCCTAGAACTGGAAAGAGGTAGGTAAAGATACCTCTCATTAGATCACAGTTGCCAATATGTTGCAATTCCTCACATTTAAATCTCAACATCAGAAATCTGTCCTTTCCCATACAAAAGCTGCACAGGCTATGAGACTTCGGTCACATTTCAGGGCTGGAAAATAACTGTCATTCATAAACCCAGCAGATTATGAAAGGAAAAACTGACTGCTGGCAGACTCCAAAGGGAGACTTCCCTTCTCTAGCTCTTAGAAAAAAACAGCCAAAATTCTGAGAAGAGAGGAGCCACCTCAATCATTGAAGTGGAATGGTGAAGGGAATGAGAAAAGTAGGAGGAAAAAGTAAGGGAAAAGGACTAACCCAGACACTAAGTTTATAAAAGTTTGATTAATTTCTTTGTCAATTAGGTCCTTTTTTTGTTTAAGATTATGCGCTCCAGAATAAGGATGTCAGTCGAGGATTTTTTTTTTACCGGTTTT